CGTGCCGAGAATAAGAAATTAATTAATACGTTAAATGCCGAAAAGCAAGCTGAAACGCCACTCACGAAAGTGAAGATGCACTCGTGTAGCTGCTAGTCAAGTGGAACGTGTTTGGGGAATATGTAATTGTTTGCAAACCTATTAAGCGAAATCTCTTCTAAGACTACTTAAGATTATAATAAATCTCAAGTATAAGCCATAATCTTAAGCTGAAAATATCAGCGCCAAGTTTCTTGTTTTTGTTTTTGTTCCTGTAGATGTCGCTGTTAGTGTGCTGGTATCTTTATGATGCACTTTGATTGTTTTTGCTTAATTTACTTTTTGAAATGTGAAATGTGAAATTGGTCTTGGTCTTGGTCGGCGGTCACGATTTCTACTTCATCTTGAGCAGCGTCTCGGGCAATTGCGGCGGTTGCGATTCGAAAGCAATAAACTTATTCGCCCGTAGGGGCGGCCGAGCGATAATAAACTTATAAAGCCATTGGTCCTCGAATCTTCCTGCGTCTTCAGCGCTTGAAAGCTCAACCTGTGTGCGCGCGCACGCCTCAAGCCAAGAAAAAACATTCAAGATCATCAGTGTCTTGTAATAACTCTATCTGCATCTGCAAAAATGCAATACTTAGATTTTTGCATTTTTAAAGAGTGAATTCAGTGTTTTTATTTTGACTTGTGTTGTTTTTTGTTATGCGTTATTGTGACCAGTGTATTTTTAATTTGAAAGTCAGTTTGCGAGTCATTTTACGATCAATTTTTGCGCGAAAGAAAACGTGCGCGAGACCAATCGCTGCGATTGCCACGCCGGGGCGGTTAATAAACACATAAAACGCGCGCGCTCTTCGGAGGCTCGGCCACGCGGCGGGCGAACACCGTGCGAAAGCGAAACAGGGGGGAAACAATGGCCGGCGGACGCGACGACAAATTGACGAATCGATGATTGATCAGTTTACTGCCTGTCGCGGCGAGCAAGGCGTAAAAAAACGCACACAAGCGTTAAAACTGTTCAAAACATCAAACAAACAAAGAAATGCGCGTTAAACACGCCATACGCTTTTGAATAAAATCGCGCAGCGTTGAGTATTTTTGCATCGTAGTCCTGGCGTACAGTTTTATTATCAGTGTCGTGGTCGTGCTCTACCACCTTTCGAGGTGGTTCTTCTGCGGCTTCCAGTTTTTGCTCTTCGCACCGTTTCGCGCATGGATAGTAGTATGTGTGTGTGCGGCGCGGCGCGTAATCAGGTTGTAATCGGACACCGTCCGGCCGAAGGAACGGGGCGCGCGATCGCCGCGCTTCATTAATTTCGTTTATTCGCCGGCGAGGCGGCGCGCTATAAAAATGGTGTGATGTTTCTTTCTGCACAACGAAGCACCACCAACCAAAGGAAAGAAGTAGCCGAGCGAAAAACGGTGCCGCGCGATTTGCATTTTATATAGAAATTTTTGAATTTTATTTTATTTCGGGCATCGAATTTCGTGCGTTGCATGGCGACATCGGCGGTCGTTAAAGATGTCCTCGAAGTCATCAAGTCGCATCGAGTCATTCCAATATTCCCGTCAAAAATATACTGCATGTTTGTATAAATTGCAAATATTTTATTTGTAATATTTTGTCTTTGACCGTTTGACAGTTATTACTGACGAGTTTTGGTCTTTCATGAAACGTTTGGAAACAATCGCGATGATTTGTTGCGATATTTTGTCTTCACACTCAAAGACTAAACAAACAGAGCATTACACGTATGTATCGAGTATGATTTTCAAAATTTACGACTATTTACACACGTTTGAGTTGAACTTAAACACGAAACAAACGTGAAAAACTATATAAGTTTAAAATTGTTTATATTTAAATATTTAAAATCACATTGTTTGGTCAATTTTCAAGACTTTTAACGTATAATCTTAGAAATGTTGTGCAAATGTGTTGAATGGATGCATGAATAAAGAAAACAAGAAGTTGTTCACGTGGGCGATCATTGAACTGAGTGTTTTACGCAAGTTCATAGTTTTTGCATATGATAACAAAGCAATTAAACGCAACTGATAATGAACGTACACTATATAGGTACTGTGAAATGCCATTCTTCAGTTTCCATTGCATAGAATCTCGTGAAGACAACAACTTTTAAGCGATCGAAGTAAATTAAACAACGATTTGCGCGGCGCGATGGTGAGAAACGCAACCTCTCGAAAGTCATTACGGACGATGTTGGATGTTTTGTTGTCGGTGGCTTGCTTGTTTAATTAATTGTGGTAATCAGCTGTACCTAGCTGTCAATTGCAATTAATGTTCATGTTTAGCTTTAATTAAAATTTCTTCTTTAACGCAAATTTTTATGATAAAAAATTAAAAATATTTTGTTTTGAGTTGAAATTTAAATATAAAAAGACAAAAAGTGATTGATTTGTTCTAACTGTGAGCCCGACGACTGAAAATGAAGCGTTTAATGCGAGAACATGATCTACATGCGCGCCAACAACGACGCTCATGGCTGAACACACCGCATCAATCCGTGCACTCACTCAACTCGAGAATCAGATCACCGAAGATCTCCCGCGAGAGAGAAATGATGAAGAAATCATAGCGTACCTACTACTCTCGTGCTCGTGCACTCGTTCACGTAATAATTATACACACAGCTTAAGAATAGACTAGGCTAGTAAAACATAACCTAACGTGGAGCAGATAGGCAGAGATAGAGACGCGCTTCGTGGATGGGCTTTGGTTGTTGTTGTTGTTCATGGATGCGTTTACGGTGTAATCATCCAATGACGCTGATCACGATCTCTCGATGCTCGATGGACGATGGACGAAGCTCGGCGATGGTCAGTCAGGCGCTTTCGTGCCGCGCAACGCACATAATTCATAATAATATGACTCGCAATGACGGGCGCAACGCACATCAAAGCCGGACTGAAGCTTAAACAAAGAAATAACAAACGATCGCATCAATAAAATCACGTTAAACTTATCAGAATTTCCAGATATTATAGTTTTCACACTAGCGCGCAAAAAATGCTTTTAAACACTGTTTTATTGGATTTGTTTGTTGTGTAGTTATTGAGTTCTCCATTTCACGCCTACGATAATACACAACAGACGATTTTTAGTTGCTTCTATTTTATCGCTGGGGTTTTCTTATTTTCCTCGGCAGGCGCGATGAAATTACGATGAGTAAGTACAAAACGGGCTTTGTTGTACGGCGCCATGCCACGTTAAAGCGGCAGAAAAACACGAAACGAAACAAAGCCGTCGAGCACAAAACGACAAGAACTTAATCGATTGGACATGACATGAGGTCTCAATTCTATCCATCCAGCATTCATCAAAACCACAACATAATAAAGCACAATACACTGTCTAAGCCTTAAGAAGTGAGTACTTTTAAAACAGTAAACAGCAAGAAGATGGAAAAAAACGAGAAAGATCTTTACTGATTCCCGCATTAGATTCAATAAAATTCAAACACGAATTAGTCTCGAATAAAAATCGAACGCAGCGCAATAAAACACCGGGTTTTGTGCAATCTAATAGCGCATTATTCAACATTATATCGTACAACATTATTAACTTTTTTGGTGAACGACTACGTGTCGATTACATGCTCGGATCATCCGAGCGAAGTTCAGTTACTTTTACGACCGGACCTTTATCATTAACTTTCGAAACCTTTCGAAACGAGCCAGAAATTGGCAAAATTAATATTTTATGATGAGCATTAATGTGAAAATGAAGTTTTATTTGGTCTTATCTAGTAAATTATATTAGGAAATAACGCGTGGTGAGGTTAGGTTGGAGTTTTTGTTGAGGTTTGGAAAGTTGGAATGTCTTCATCTCTCTTGAGAAGTTGTGCGTTGCGATCGCTTGCTTGGTGGAAAGCTGAGGCATGCGTTCTCGGAAAGCGGCCAGCTGTGATGAAGATCTCCTCCTCGGGTGGGAGGGCCGCGCCGTGTTTGTTGAAGACGTTATATATTACACCCTGTCATGTGTCCGAGGAACCGCCGGCACCGCCAGCACCATCAGCCAAAAATTTTCAACTTCAATTCTCAACATTATAAGATTTTTAAAAAATCAAAATTTTTAATTCAAAAATCATATATTTTTCAATTGTTATGGTAATGAGTAAATAACAATCATAATAAATCATGTGTGCCTGCAGATGGCAGCACTGTATTTGGGCAAATTATAATTATTACTTTGCGTTGTGATTGGAGTTAACTTGAAGGGATAATGTAATCTGCGTGCAGAGTCGAACAAATGAGTCATTTTCATTTGACGTTGCAATTTTGCTAATTACTGGCCAAAACGGCGACGTTGGCTGTGCGCGCGCCTTCAGTTTAACTAATATGCAATTATGGCAATTACATAAATTTTAAACTTACACAGGTAAAAAGTTAAACGCTTTTAAAAAATGCGTATGTAGTCAAAGCACAAGTATTTATATTCAAGTAACCTATAAATAAAAAAAATCACTGGGTAAGTTCACTTTACTTTTGCGTTTGCCTAAATTTTAATGACTTATTGTATACACTTTCAGTGAAACAATCATTAGCAGGCAGTAGCCACAAAAAATATAATAGGCAGCAAGTAAATGAGAAAAGGTATGATGATCACCTGTTTGGTGTTAATTACAATTTTTTTTCTTCTTGACAATATGACATGGAGATAATCAAATACTAGACTTATCAAATTTGAAATATTTTTTAAAACTTTTTAAATATTTAGGAATGTAGGAGCTTTCAAGTTTTGTTAAGATATGTACAACTGTACAATTATTTCGGGAGTTTTGAGTAAAATAAGCAGCTGATTGCTCGCATGGCGGAAGCAATCGCTCAAACGGATAATGAAAACGAATGCGTCCGAAACGAACAAAACAACGACCCAAGGAGAGAAAATGAGTGGTCGTCGGTCGCACGCGTCCCAGTCCAGATAATCTCACAGCGAAAGACAAGCGACGCCTATTTAGATAAAAATATGAATGTGATAAAAATAAAAATTCAGCTTTTTAAAATATTTTTCATTTTTAATTAGGCGACATATCAATTAATATTTTTGATCCACTAAAAATAAAATAAAATATAATTAGAATATTTTTATTATGAAAGGAAATATACTTACGTTGTGGTTTTCCATCAACCCAAGGCGTAATTTTTAATGTTGTAGATTCTCGATTTTTTGCTTTTGCGCGAAACTCTGGCTTCAATGCTTCTCGCGTCATTGATGCACATATTGATGAAAACTTCACATAACTGAAACAAAAATACAAATATAAAAATTTACTGCAAACGTAAAAAAAGTTACTTAGTTATCAAATATCTTATAATAGATAAATGTAAATTAATTCTATGACCGTATAGCGATAACTTCAATTATCTTAAGTAATTCAAGTAATTAATGCGATTACAAAGCCTCAAACAAAGCCTCGCCTCATCTCATTATCTCCTCGTTGCTTTTTTTCCGTTTGCATTGTCTTGTGTTACTTTATCTAACGCCGCGAGATTTCGTGCGACTGCGTACGTGCTCGCAATGTTTTATAATCTTTTCCTCTCTTTTGATGTCGCTGGATGCGGCCTGCATTCGTGAATAGATGAATAGACACACAGGCTAACTCGTCTGTACGTGTATGGATAAGTGCCGGACCCGGAGTGCTCGAGTGGATGAATGAATGCGTCCCCTCTTGTTTTCCATACGGTTATTATTATTATGTGATGCGTCGAGACGCTACGTGTCACTCGTGTCGCTCGTTATTATGTTAGCAGGCGTGGACGTATTTTCAATTTCAAGTTTTCCTAGAGACACACCAGCAGTAGAAGTAGAAGTAGGAGTTGATACACACGAAGTTTCGAGTACGTGCATCCGCGTTTTTATTATGTTATTCTATGCTTAATTTAAGTAATGTTATGGAAAAATTGAAAAAAATGCAAATATTGAAGGTATTATTTGCAAATTTGGCGTTTTTGTACAAATTTGTAAAGAAAAACGAAGGAAAAAGGTTTTTCTTGCAATTTAGCGGAAAATTGTCGAAAAATGCAAATAATGAACTTATTATTTGCAAATTTGTCATTATTGTTGAAATTTTTAAAGAAAAACCATTTTTTTACAATTCGTCAGGAAAATTGTGTTTTAAAAAAATATTTACTTCACTAATTTATTTTAAACACTATTTAATATTCCATAAACAAATTCTTTAAAATTCTACTTGAGTTTTGTACCAATGTGTCTTGTCACGTCGTGCACGTGACAATTACAATCTCGTGCTAATCATTTTCGAAAAATTATGACTGAAATAACAAATTCTTACTCAATGCCTGCACTCCTCCACGAGCTGAGCATGATGTTGTGTCGTCAAGTTGATGCGCTGTGCAAAACCGCTGTCTGCAAGTGTGTCAATCGATTGAAACGTCGATGATACGCCCGATTCTTGTGGAAATGATTGAAATCTCATGACACTCTTGACAGATTATGCATTTATCCGCCGCCGTCTATTGTTATCGTTTTGTTGAAGTTGTTAGACTTTTGTCTGGCAGCCTTGGCAGCAGGTAACTTAATTTTTGCACAAAAGAATCGAAATCGATTCTCAGTGCCGTTCCCGACATGCAAATAATAGTTGTCAAACGTTTCACGTTTACATTTACCTACCTGATTGCGGCAGATTGGCTCTACTTGCGCGTCGCAATAAATCGCAATCATAAAAAAACATTGATTCTCCAGTTGAATAAAAATTTCGCTCGACAAATTGAAATCGAGCACGTTATTATTTTTTGCATTCGCGTCGCTCTTTGCTCGTTTATAATCCGGTAATCTTCAGCATTTATGAAGCGTAAAGCATGAAAATCGACATGAAGTGGAATAATCATAAATATAATAATAGGAGGTGTCGGGCTACGAAAGCAGACAACGTTGGTATGCAGGTATGCAGCGTTCTATGGCAATGGCGACGCTTTCGATATAAACTGTGTCGAATTGGGGCGAATATTATAATTTGAAACCTTTCAAGACAAACGCAAACAATAGCAATGCATATTTAAAATGAAATGTCAAATTTTCATTCCTGTAAACAAGCGGTGTGAAATACACACGTACGTTATTAAAAACGTCGGAGAACTTTAGAAATTAAAAAAAAAAATAGAAAATTTTTATGTTTTGTGATGTTTTTTGTGTTGTTCAGCACGCAAATGTAATTTCAACAGTGTGCAACTTGCAAGTGCAATGTGCAAGGCCAAAAAGGGTCTTTGCCCTTTTTGGCCGTCAGCGGCAACAGCGGCGCATTTTTCGGGCCCGTTTGCCCGTTTTTCTCTCGTGCGTAAATTGCGCCGCCGTTCAATATGTAAATGTCTTTTTCGACTCGATGCGCCGTTTCGCCAATTCGCCATTTTATACCGCCAACTCTCATGAATAATTAAAATTGTAAATTACAACATACGACACAACTGCGCTTACCTGTGTACGACTAGTACACATAAATACAAATTAAATTAAAGCAATAATTATTTATTTTGTCGTTGTGTTTTTTTTGCGCGGCGTAAATTTAGTTGATTTAGTTCGCGCCGTGTGCGAGCGCCCGCCGTCGGTCTTAAATAAAGTAATCGTCGTTAATTATCTAAATTGCGATCGGTGAAATGACTTAATACATTCGGGCCGCAGTGCCGACCGCAACGCAATCGAAGGAAGACTCGAGATGAAGACCGCAAACCCAACAAGTCATCTCAACTCTCCCCGACACATGCGTTTCTCCTTTTTTGAATGTTGAATTTTAAGCTCTGAAAATAAAATAATACGTGTAACATCACGCAATAATCAGGCGCATTTTGCTCGAATTTAACGAGTCCCACCCGTTTCTAAGCAATTTCACGTCTTTTCATTGTCACTTCTTGACTGCGCACGTCTGAAAAACCAACGCATGATGTATTTATCACCCGGGGGTTTTGTGCGCTTCGCTACGGTTTTCACCTGATTTCCACGTTGCACTAAAATTTACGAATTCCACCCGATGAATAGAATTACACATAATGGCACTGACGACTGAATAGAAGAGTCAGAATCATGAGATTTCCTATCTGAGTCGGATAATAATAAACTAAACGTCGAGTTGACTGTTAGATGCGAGATGGTGGTGCGAATGAGAGGGATGCTTTGAATGTGTTTGGACCTCGTTAAGTTTTCGGTTGGTTCTCGCGTCGGGGCGTCGGGCGCGGACACCTGTGACGACTTCCATGACTTCCAGGTAAAACCACTTTGACTCCTCAGCTCCACAAACGAGAACAAAAAAGTTTCTAACTAGAAACAGAAAGAATGTCTAAATTCAAATCTACTGTGTGTTTCTTACTATGTTTACCTAAATTTTACTCCCTAGGAATTATTTTTAGTGAGTTTTTAGAACACGCCGTATATTTTTTTGAGGGTAGATAAGGTTGTTTTCGGTAATTTATCTACTAATTTTTAACGTCCGCCGAGGCGGCTCGTAAAAGTGCCAATCGCGTCAGGTAACCCTCCCGAAGGTTTGTGGTCCTCTGTTGCTCGAAAACGAGAATGGGTGAGAAAAATCAAGGAAAAAAATCGAAACTGTGGCGCGGTAGTTACGATTTCGGCGAGTTTTACGTTTTTACTAATTGCGAGCTTGATGTTTTCGGGGTCCCGTTTGGCGATTGCCGATGAGTCGAAAACTGGACGTTGAGAATGAATGACGGTCGTCATCAGCGGCAACGCCCAGCGAACTTGTTTTCACAAATATATTTGTTTGCGCGTTTTTCGGTGGTCGCTCTTTGAAAACACCGCCATGACAAAACGAGAAACACAACCAAAATACAATTTGAGTGCGAAATTAAGTGATTTACGATTTCCTCTTAACACATTTTTAACAATGGATTATAAGACGCTATATTTAAGCTGTAGCGCCATCTATAACACAAAAAACATAAAGATGTACAAAAAATATTCAATTTTTTTTATCCCCAAAAGTCCAAACATAATTAATAAACATTTTATGCGTTCTGTGTGGTGATTTATCGCGCAGGTGCTTGGCTTAAGTATCGCTGCGCCTGGCTTGCGAAGGTGCTAATTAAAAAGCCCACCAAATCGGGCTTATAATTATTAATTTCTTCAATTTGTTTCCGCGTACGCGCCGCGCAAGCACCGCCGTAATTTATAATAAAGATATTCATCTCTGTACGTTTTAAATCTTTTAATCTCGTGGTCTTCATCAAGCGGGCGAAAGACAAGACTTAAGTCCGGGACATGCCGAGAATCCACTTACGCTCCAACGTAATTAATTATGATTTCGGATTTAATTTATAATTTATTACAATTAGAGACAAAACAAAAATGTTGCCCCATAGATGGCGCTGTGCATTCAAACATGGCCATCACTAAATTAAATAAATTTAATATGTTTGAGAATTTTAAAAGTGCATAAAGATGCAAACGCATGATAACCTTCGGTTATCGTCGGTTACGTAAGTGCCGGTTGTTGTAGGGGGCGTTACGCCCGACACTCCCGGCGTTCTTATCTACAAAGTGTCGTCGTAAATTTTCCACTGTTTCACTCAACTGCTGGGATATCTTTAATGTTTCCTCTATAAAATGTCTAAAACAAATTATTCTCAACACTCTAGTTGTACCAATCTACAGGTGAGTTCCGTAAGTAATAATAATAATAGTTTTCTTGATATGCACTCTCGAATAACATAATAAATTGATATATTAAGATATTACTCGCGAGAGCATCTGATAGAAGTCTTCGTGGACTGAAGAGTGAGGAGTAGATCGGAGCTGAGATAAAGATTCTCGTGCGCACGCGTGGCAAATCGTAAATATCACCTTTGTTTCCTTCTCCTGCGTCGCCGAGGGAGCGAAACAGAAAATGGAAAACAGATCTGTGTGTTCTTGTGTTCTTGGAGTGCATGCTTTGCTCTCTAATAACGTTGAGCGTTTTGTAGGCGGGCGGAAAATGGTCTGAAGACGGGGTTTTCATAGGCTTCGGGCTGCAGGCGTGCAAGAAGCGAGTCGAATCGGATTAAATCTTCGATTGCTATCCGAAGAATTTGATGAAAATTAAGTTATTCTGAAAAATATTTCTTTATTATGTTTAAGTTATTATTTTACATGGTTGAGTTTGTGTTATGCTGGTTAAATAATTATCAAAGATGATTGCATTCTTCATTTCGTGATGCTGCTCGTTTTTTCTCACTTACTGGTTCGGCTCTCGAGCTTCTGATTTTTTCCCTTCTGCTTGCTCTCGCTTGTGTGCTGCTGGCGTGCCGCAGCCGTGTTTGTTGTGTTATAACTCGTTTTCTCGCCGACGCCAACGAGCAACAACAACACATCATTAATGGTAATAATTGAGCGAAGAGGGTGATCGTTATGAAACGCATCGGGCGACCAACCACGTCGGAGGTGGTTCGGAGCTCGTTTGCGCGCAGGACTCATCAGCGCGCCGCGGAGTCCCGAGAGAAAAGGAAAAAATGAAAAATAGATTACGGTAGGAGCGTGCGCGGAGGTAGATATAAGAAGCCGCCGTGGACCAGGCATTGGCCACCGAAATTTATCATCGAATTACTTCATTAGTCTTTGTCCACGCTGCAGCAGGAGAAAATTAAGAAATTTAACCGAATAAAACAAGTTTTTAGATGTTTTGCGCATAGATGGCGCTGTGTTTTAGATCAATGTAAGAAAATTTCATTATTCCTATTATATACCTATTAATTACGTAGATGATTTATAGCGTATTTTTAAAAACAGACGTTAAAACGTCACAAACAATGATTAAAACTCGACAAACGATGGCAACTGCCCGGAATCAACCCTAAAACGTCAGGCGAAGGCATTTAAACTTCATGGGAAATGTCTATAAATACAGCTTCTGACTTTAACTTGCAGCTCCCGCATGAGTTGCAACCGAAAGTCTTGGTTTTCGGCTCGGTCGAGTGTGTTGGTTGCTGCTGGGTTTGATTCATTTGCAGATGGCGATTTTACGAGCGCGCGTTTACGACTTTTCGACGCTTTTTACCGTTCCAGCGCGCAAACGCGTCGAAACGTCGAAAATCGAACCAAATATTTATGCCCATTATGCTGGGCCGTGCGTCGCGCTCAATTATTACCTAAGGTAGGTAGGCGCACGCACACCTAGCTTGTTACACACATTTCATAAATAAAAACATAAAATAAAACATAAAACGCGTAAAATTTTTCAAACATCAAGAGAGATCATGCTCGTAAAATCGAACATTAAACAAAATGAACCTGCGCGACTGGATTCGAGGATTAAATGTGAACGAGGACGACGAGTGGCCGAAAGTAAGGTTAGGTTAGGTGTTCCAGATGGCGCCACAACTTAAATATGGCTACTTGCTTTCGTTTGTTGTTATTTTATCAGTGTTTGTGTATGAAGAAGATGGCGCTATGTCTTAAATATAGTTTTATATGTTGATGACTGTGTAAACTCGCGGCGTGAGCGTACAAAACTGTATAAATTGAATACAATCCGACCGTTTTTCATCGCATTCACCTGAAGCAGCGTGCCAGCTCGTTTGCTCGCGTCGCTTCCGTGCGCCCGGGCGCTTCGACAACATCAGCGGCGCATTAACATTGAATCGAAAACAATGCTAATAATTAAATAACATTTGCACAGAATTAGTAGCGACGCTAATCTAGCGATACGCGCTCAACAACTTCCACTCACTCACTACTTGTACTACGCATGACCACTTTACTTCTCACACATGTCTTAGAAAAAATCATAATTAATACGCAGGAAAAAATAAAATACATTTTTATTGCGTTCAACATTAGACGATGTTAAAACATCTTCAATCCGGTATTTCAAATTTAATTGTGCTTGGAAGGTGATGTTTTTTAATTTCTTCTTTCGTTGGCAGTCAATGAGTAATTAACGAGGATTATTATGTGGGCTGTGTGAAGGTGAGCGAGAGCTCTTCTTGCGCGAGATAATAGAGTCTTTACCTACCCATTCGGGCGCGGTTCGCTTCGCTCGTTTGCGACGCCGAAGTGGAGATGTGTAGTGTGCTGTTGTGTCGAGTCATCGTTTCGAGTAAACAAACGCGCGCCCGGGCACCGCCGATGACCAGGGGGATAATTATAGAAAATGAGTAGTTAGAAATCGTCGCCGCAGCCTTACGGTTATCATTAATGTGTGTGATTGCCGCTTATAAATCACGCACAGAATGCCGCTCACTCAACAACTTGACAAAAAATGACATTGCGGTGTTGCCAGCGTTGACAAAACAGTTATAGATGGCGTAAATTTTGAGGTTATTCATTTTTGTGGTGTATAATATTCTCTTGCTTTTTTATACATCATTGGTCGTGGCACTCGAGGTGTTCCTTTCAGTTGGTATTGCCGAAGAATGTTCTCTGCCCGGCAGCGACGCAGCATAATATGTTTTGTTCATAAATTATTCAGCAATAAATAACTTGAAAAATATCTTAATATAAAAGGGCCTCTTGGATGCTGCGAATACCTAACCGTAAATTTTCGGCCATATTTAAGATGTGGCGCCCTCTACAACAAAAATCACACAGTTTTTGTGTGGATTTATTTAAAAAAAATATTTTTACGTTAGTTACACACATGAAATATGAAATTACATACTTGTACATGCTGTACGCGCGTCGAGAATAATGTCTTAATAACTTCATCGTCTTCATCGATACACGCACGCCGTTCGAACGTTCTTTCAAGGTCACCGCCCATCGGCCAGGATTCCTTTGCATTCAACGCCAACACGCCGAAGTACATTTAACTATTAAATGTGAAATTTAAGCTGAAATCTTTAAATTAAGTTAAACTTTTAACAGTTTTTGTTTCGTTCTAAGCTTATTATAATTTGAGTTTTTTTTTTATAAGTCGCTTTCGATTCCAAATCAAGTTTGAACAATATCTGATTATAAACGATTCGTATGCCGAATTTGTTGCTCAACAAGCCACGCTTGGTCACAAGCAATAAAATCTGGCACACATTTCACATAATCACATATATGTATCGACATTCTGCCTTTTAGAGGTTATGGTTATGGCTGTGTTACTGTTAAACACTCGTAACAACAGCCGGACAAACGCAACGCGCTCTAAAATTCTAGCATTTTTTTTTCATCAAACATTTAACCAAGCAGATTAGTTTGGTGCCTCGTTTCGAACACTCTGCGCGGCTGAGAATTTGAAACTTATTAACATATATCGATGACGACGACCAGAGACGGAGAGGAGGCACACCGGCGAAGAAGAAGAGGATACATTTAAATTAACACATTACGAGGCGAGAGCGCCTCGTTCGCCCGACGAGTGCAGGCGCTCATTATCCCGGCTGCCTCTTTATATTTCGTTTTACTTATTTTTCGTTTTTCGTCTCTGAGTCTTCGCCTCTTTCATGATCGTTCTTCGTTTTTTTGGATTCAACATACAAAAGAGAACGCTATACCCTTAACGACTAAAACCATATAAGTTAAACAAAGACATAGATACTCGGTTTGAGTGGTCGATTGTTGGACGAAGACGCACGAAGGAATTTTGTCATTACGACGCGTTTTATATTTTAATCAGATGTTACCGACTGCCTAAATTTCGACGAACCGAACGGGAATTGAGACATGAGACATCGACGACCAATTAAACGTGGAAATAAAACGCTTTTGCTCGATCATTTTCGGTCGCGTGTATATCATTTTGGTATTTTGACAGTTTGCAAGCAAGTGATAGGTGAGGTTAGTTCGCATAATTAAGAGTGAGGAAAAAAACTACAAGTGTAAGTGCAACAAACTAATAACGACGCATCACGTAAATCGTAGAACAAGTGTAACATCGTTTCTCGTGTTCTTCGCGTCTGCTTCGAGCATAATAATGCCAATTAGTCGACGTGTTTGCATATAATTCATATTATCACATGCACTTTCGTGCCTAACGACCCGGAGAGAACACTTTCGTGGTTTAATTACACTCGAAATCAAATTATTTAACGGGAAACATTAAAAATTCATTTTTTAAGAATTTGAGATAATTTTTAGAAGTTTTCTGTATTTGAGGTTTTGATTGTGGCTAGATGTGAAGATGTTGGAGACATTTGAGAGAGGTTGGCCGCGGGTGCACGGGTGTTTCTTTGTTGGGTGCACGCGTGCGTGCGCGACTCAGGCACGATTGCACGCGGCGGCATGCGGCATGTGTGCGCGCGGCCGAGAGGGGCGCGAGGCGCGCGCGCTGCCCCGACTTGCTGCCTTAGCCATAGCCGCTGCGCTCGCTCGCTGCTGGGCTGCGTTAGTTGAGTTGTAAGTTGTAAGCTCGGCCTGTCAACTGCTCTCGGGCCGGGCCTCTCTCTCTCGACGGCCGCGGCGCGCTCGTTAGTTGCTGCGTGCTGCCCGTGTGTCGACGACTCACGCATGTGCGCCCGCGCCGCCGCTGATAACAAGCGCAGCAGAGACAATTCGCGATCGCGCAATCAACAAGTGCATCGCGGGTGTGGAGCGACCATCTTGGATAGATACAATATCCGCATTTCGATTACTTATTGGATTTAGTGCGGATTGATATTATTATTTTGCGTTTGCTTCAGTGGTCGAACGATAATGACGTTGACACTGGCGAAGAGGTGAAAATTCACGTGGTGCAGTGTTTTTCTTCTTCTTCGTGTGTGCGCGCGCGGCGTATGGATGCCTGCCGCATGAGGAACGTGAGATAATAAATGCCCGAAAAGGAGGCGGACTTTCTGCACGCCGCCATGTCCGCCGGGCTGCCGCTGCAGTTTCCGTCGGCGTTCGCCGCCTTCCACGCGCCGCTGCCGATTGATCAGCGTACGCACGAGGGCCGCTACGTCTGGGATCCTCGCATGCAGCCGGCGCCGACTTCTTTTCATCCACCGGCTCCACCAGGGTAAGCTGACAAAACGTCTCTCCTAGCGTGAAACACATTCTTCTTCTCCTGCATCGCCATGCTGTGCGCCTCACGTCGTCTGTGTGCGTATAATTAAACGCGCATTATGAATATGCGCTCGCATCTTAGTCTCGCTGCTAAATTGCGCTAGGCATAACTGACGTTCGTCATGATTCGGTCGTAATTAATCCTTTGTTGTGATGCCCGCGCGCATGCAAAACGAACGCACCGGCGACTAATTACTTTTTGCTGCGCGAATTCCGCATTGTTCCCGTCTGGGCACGCTGGCTGGGGTTTTATAGTTTTTCTGCGTGCCGATTCTGTTGCGTTTTCTTTTATTTGCGCGCATGAAAAACGTCTCAATCTGCTGGACGGTGCGCTTTTGTTTGCGCACGTAATTTTGCGCCCAACGACATCAATCCCACAACATATAACAATTCAATACTTTTGCTGCTTACCTTTGTCGTGTTGTATGTTGTATTAGTATTACAACTTGTATTTGTTGAGGTGGGTCCTTTGTGCGGCGAATTTGTGCAAGATTTGTGCAAAACGCGTGAAAAAAATTTACCTGTGCGTTAAGTCATAATCCCAGCTATAAATTTTTAGATGTTTGTGCGGACAATTGACGGGGTAGCTTAAGATTCTTTAAGTATTTTACTTTACCGACGGGAATCGTGCTTCAGTTGATACATAGATTCGAAATTTTGAACTTTTCAGTTAAATTTTTATTTAAAAAATTAAGTTTTCCGCTATTTTATCCAAAAATTTAATTTTTTGGAGAAGAAAAACTGCTAGAAAATTATTTTTGTTTATTTTTTTTTGCCTTGTTTATCATAAAATTAATTTTTAAACGATAAAATCAAAAAAAAATCTTGTTTTAATTACGACTCGCTTTTAATTTTCTTTGTCGATTGCTTTTTCACCATAATGTTTCTATAATCGTAATGTAATACGAAGATTAGCAATCCATTCGATTGGTTAGGTCGGTTTTTTTTGTTGCTGCACTTATTTGCTAAACGTTTGGCTGATTGCAGCACTCGTGACGTTTGCTCTGTGCGTCCAGAAACGATTGCGGGCGCTGAAAAAGCATCGACACGAAAAATCTAGCCGAGACAAGTTTTTTTGTTGCTTGCGGTCGCGGGCTGATTGCGAATGCGTATGCGTCTGAGACGGCGGCCGCGCGCGCCGACGGGGCAAAAAACTAAATTGCTTCGAGTGCGTGCGTCGCGTTCTAATGTTTTGGTCCTGCTACTGCCGCCGCATCTACGTACACACACACATACACATGACAAATGTGTGCGCATGTGTGTTTTGCGGTAAGCGGCCGATTGCGGATTGCAATCGCCTGCTTATTACACGACGTGCGTACGTAATGAGATGAATGAGATAATGGCGGCTAAGGAGTTAATTTGATGCTTTACGAACAAATGCTCGAAACTCAATTAACGAGAGCCAACGTTTACGGCGGACACAAACCAATGGCAAATACATATTTTACAATTAGTGACTTAAGACACTCGCGGAAAGTAGCGTTTAACGTACGGGTACTTATTTTTTACCATCAAAATTTTACGTTTCTGTACGTAATTTGAAACTTTACCAATTTCTTACTTACCTACTACTTAAGTAGCCTTAGTAGTTACTTACCGAATTTTTACACTCTACTTCACATGACTTGACTCGACATGTCAATTAAAATTTATGTCACTCGCATCATGAATGCATCAGCGCGTGTTTTATAAAATTTAAATAATTTTATAATTTAATGCAAGGCCACCGAACGAAGGAAATTGCATTTTTCCGAGTGACAATGAATAATTGAATAATTACATTGTTTCCACGCATGAAACAAAGACTCAAAGTCTTCTTTGGTGGCGTTGAAAATATTTTAATCGATCTCTGTACGTGGCGGACGTGCGCGTCTCGATTAATTGATTAATTAATTAGACCACGGACGAATACATTCGCGTGATTCGAATTCTAAGCATTTTAACCACATTCTACACATTTTTATTGCTTACTTTAGTTTGCATTACATTTGATTGATGTGCGCATGGAAAAGTTTTCTTGCTCATTGTCAACTTGACTTACATAAAGTTTTGTTTCTGGCGTTTGTCAAATGTTCAATGTTAAATTTGACGTCGAGGGTTGTTGGAATGTATCACACATGTTCCGGCAAGAAGAAATAAGGCTGTAACTTGGTAACGTTTGTCGCCTTGCTGTGTGATATATGACTCTTTGGGAACGCGTCGAAAAATGTGTTGCTTTGCTCTTTACCGCTAAAGTTTGCGTCAAATTTTCGACTTTTCAAAGAAATTCGACACATTTGGGATCAACCACTGCTTGGTTCTAAGGCACTCGCACCATATTGTGTTATATTAGGTTACGAAATAGGAGAATTGGGCGGTGGTGTTGATTCAACAGAATCATTAACACTGCACCACCACGAGAAGAAACAAGTTTACTTAAACATTAAATAAATTAATTTTGTGGTTGGTTTTTTCTTCGTAGTCTAGTAAAACTTAAATCGTTGGTGGTTGCGAAACTTGTTGTGGTTTTCTGATTGAGTGCGCGAATCGTGTTTTAACGCAAAACACAATAACCACAAACGCGTTGTGCGCTAATAAAGACAACAAAAATCAACTCGCTTACATGCGGATTTTAAGCGCAAAGCGCAAAGTTGTGCATTAATTAAGTAGGAAAAGCATGCAGGCGTGATTACACGGTGAAATATTGAAATTGCGTATGTTGAACATTTTATTACCCCCTCGGCGAAGTTGACGTTGACTCGTCGACAGCGACTAGCTGAGAGAAATGCATGCGAATTCACCGCGCTTTCGATTTTAATTATTCGCCATCGTTTTTCGTAATTGAAAATCTCCGTGTTTAACTTGCAGTCGGAGTTTAATTAGAATTCTCTAGCGGGAAAATTGCGTCGTTAATTAAATTCTTACGATGCGCGTACGCATTTTTTTCATCAGACTTTCAGCTAAATTGCATTTAAATATTTGGTGTGCTTAAATTGTCCGTGGTTTATGATTGGTAAACGTATAAATGTCGAAAATAAACACTCGCTGATGGCTGCTAACTACCGGTGCTGAGCGTCGTCAGCCAAACACACAACACAACGTTACACTTTGTTTTCCTTGTGCTGCTTCCTATGCGCTTGAGCCTGGTTGCTATGTGAATATATCTATATATGTATTTATTTTATACACACGGCCTTCAAATTTACTCAAGCCGTGTGAAGTTTAAATTCGTCTCGTCGCAACTTCTTCAGCGTGTTCAGCGTCTTCTTGTGCGCGCGAGCTGCGTGTTCAAACTCTGTGTCAACAATCAAATATTGCCTTTCCGGATGACGGCGATAAATATGTGCTCTGCACACATATTTAGTGCGCGTGTTTCGACGCTCGTGTTTGCTCTGTCGCAACGCGCAACAAGTAGTTACAAGACAAGTCACTTGTGACTTGCGACTTGTTGTTAAAAATTCAATCAGCTTGCCGGGCATACCACAAATATTTTCATATCTATATAGGAAGATTCGACGAAGGAAGCACAACGAAGTCATTTTAACACCAAATAGTTAAAGTTTTAACACCGCGTCGATAAAAAAAGATGTTGGTATCAATTGTTGCTTTGATTCCTTCCTCTAAAGTGTTAATTGAGGACATTTAGATATTAAACGGGAATTCTCACAACATATGCAACCAAATACACTCGTGGTTACCATGGGAACTTGATATGGCACCATCTATGATTCCTTAATTAATCTAGCTTGATCTGTGGGTTTACCATACGAAGAAATTGAGTGTCGAAGATTTTATGGAGACGTTTATTATGAAATTTTAATGTCACGAGTTGTGCACATCTTCGGCGCTCGGACTTGGCGGCGCGCGTCTGCCCGTAAAAATGTCCGTTTATTAAAATCATCGGGACGTTGAACTCGTTTAATACTGGCACTGGCGTTTGTTATGATGCCACTGAGATGCTTCACATTCACACCGACCGAATCATCATCGCGGGCCACATCCTGACGCGATGCGAGCCATAGAAACACACACGGATTGCAGACGCACTCCTATTAGGTTGATATTTTATTTTATTTCTCGCCGGAGAGCAAGGGATTCAGATTAGATCTGATTGTATCGCACGGTAAAAGATGTTGCTGGGTTGTATCACTGGTTTCGGTGGTAATTCTATACGTGTACTAGGATTATTTTAATATTTGTCGTTAAGTTATAAATTTTTAATGTCAGTTTATGAAAGAAGGAAAAAAATACTTATCTGATATTTGATTGCTAATTTTCTGCAGTGGTAATAATCGTAAATTAATTGCGATAATCATGTTGATCAAGTCGATGATGATGATAATTAATAAATATTTCTTTGATTGCTTTCGCATGCACTCGGCGTGCACGAACATTTAAAACTGTTAATCGTTTAGCATTCGATCTTGATCTAGAGATCTCTCCGCCGCGCTTCAAATACTCATCCCGCTGCGGCGCGGCTGCTGCTGCTAGTTGGAATTGCTGCATGATTTTAAGTCATGGTTATCCCGACTTGACTTACAGGAGTTTAACTCGGTAGCTGCCGTCTTTAAGTTTGCGCGGAGTTTTAATGTCTCTCGCCGTGCACATGCATGGCATTACCATCCGCCTTGGCTCGCTCACTCGCACGTTGATTGCTTAATAAAATCGTAATAAATGGAAATTGAATAGTGTAAATCAATCGGTAGCGATGCAGGAGGCTGCGATAATTAAAATAAATTAAAACTCGACGGCCGCGCGCACTCACCGCGCACACAACAGAAAAGGAGAACGCGATTGAGTTGACTTGACTCGAACTGACTCGGTTAGCAAAGTTGTCAACCGTTAAAAGCTCACCGAAAGCTCGGCAAGACAATTTCGAATTTCGATCGTTTAAACGCTTGCGTGTTGCGCATGTTGATGGGCATTAAAACTTGAACCTTGCATCTCGCGTGCGCGACTGAGACATTGAGA